GGGGGGAGGTTAGGGACTCACACAAACACTACAGAAATCAGAACAACTGGCATGGGGCCTCTATAGCCTGGAATTGGCCCAGATGGGGGTCTCTAAAACTCTGTACTCTCCCTTAGACATAGAGGGGAAGGACACAGCCCGGGGAAAGTGACTGCCTTAGGCGGGGACTGGGAAATACTAGTCTAGAGGTGGGGGCTAATAATGATTCCTTGGCTGTGTTTTTGCAAGAAGTCCAACTCTTGTAAGTCTGGGTAGACTCCCTATCTTCACCTCTCCTTCTCCTAAGATAAAATAAGCACATAAAAAGACTGCAATTACCAATGTGTCCCCCAGTCATCTGAGGAGGTGGCACTGTGTCTTGGCGGGGGTAGTGTGTGGGTGGAATTTAAGGAATCGTTCTGAACACTGACAGGCCCAGGAACTCTAATAAGCTCAATAAGCAAAGGCAGAAAGGGGCATCAAGCACTTAATCCCAAACCGAGCTGCCAAAAATGAGCAGTTGATTCATACCCTCCCTCTCCCAAAGCGCTTTAATTCCTTCACCCTGGAGAAAGAAAGTATCTATGCTTCATTTCCATCCTTCCCTCTCCCGCTCCCAACCCAGGCACTGCTTGTTCTGACCTATTAAAGACTCAAGTCTACTTTACCTTCCCATTCACCCTAGGTTGAGGCCATTACTCTGGGAACATTTCAGGCCATTGCAGGTCTCAACTCTGCACACAGTTCTCTCATACACAGTTATCTCTCCTGAAGTAAGGAAACTTGGGCCAAGGATTTGGGAGAAGATTCTGTGACCTTGCAGAGACTCTGCAGAAAGCTGAGAAAGGGGAGACCTAACTAGGTGAACCAGATCTGCAGGGAACTGGGGTATTGAATCCACTGAGCACCAGCTCATTTCCTCCCACAATCTAATCATTACAGTCAGTCTTGGAAAGGGAAGACTCTAGAGAATTCTCTCTCCCTCCTTCCTTTCCTTAGTCCCACCTCCCTGTTCTTGCTTGCCTCCTTGTTTCCATGACAACTCCAAGAGAGCCCAAACTGGGGGCTTGAATGCTTGGGTGAGAGGACAGACAAGTGGGGGTACGTCTGAAGTGCTCCCATACCTCGCCTCGGTCCCTTTAAGCTGTCCTCCCTCCCTGCTCGCCCTCCACCCCCCCTTACCTCCC